AGGAGCTGTCCTTCCCCTTTTTAATAGATACGTCTTGCATGGAAATATTCGTCACAGAAAGGTGTAGTCCCTTAAAAAATGCACGTTGTTCCAGACGTTCTCGCCCCTGCTCTGTAGGACACAAGAATCTCGCTCCTGCTCTAGAGAACTTAAGTCTGAAACAAGGCCTTAACTAATAGGTTATTGATAAAATAAATATAGGAAAGGAAGAGGCAGGATAGTGGTAATCCACTTTCTGTAGTAAAAATCACAGAAGAGATTAAATCTGTTGCATTTTCCTGTACTCATTAGATATTGCCTTGCTATCCAAGGCCTTAAATATTTTCATTCAGTTCTTAAAAAAAAAAAAAAATCACTTTGTACAAGACATCCTGGGAAACATAATCTTACTTCAGCAACAGACATAGGCAAGTTAGACAAGACTGTTTTACCTTTCATTCTGTTGGCAATGGCAAGGATTTGTCCTAAGCACAGAAGGAAAATGACTTCTACCTGCTATGAGCAAGAGTATGTGTGTCTCAAAATAGATCTGTTTTCTCAGCAGCAAAGACTCAAATATACAAGTAAACAGACTACTAAAATATACAATCCCTAAAATAAGTGTGAAAGGCCAGCAGGAAGAGTTTTGCTAGAATGAAGAAAGCTGTCCATATTCCCTCAAGAACACAAAAAGCTTTTGTATAACTAAAAGCTGTTAAGACTAGGGAAGTACTTCTGTCTTGCTTTCACTAATCCTACTGTGCGATGCAGGGTAACCCAAAACAAATATCTCGGGGGTGGGGGGGGAATTCTGATGCCAGCTCAGTAGCAAAAATGAGGAGCTTAGGAGGTTCATTTGTTCCGTGCTCCCTCGGTGGAACAACGCTGGTGCTGGGCGCTTGCGTTGGATTTAAGCATTGGTTTCTACTGATGGTAGTGTGGCCACGCTGCGTTCATCAACCTACTGTACTTGAGCAGACATAGCTTCTGCACGGCAGTGCTCCATAGTTGCTGGCTCTCTTCTCAGCCTCGAGGCCTTGGCCTCACTAGCCTAGTTTTCTTAGCTGTGCAACATGTGGTTGCACTAAGTCAGGCAAAGTTTTCTCTTTCTCCTTCAGTCTGCTAGAGAAGCTTACCTTAGTTTCAGTTGATTACTGACAGGAATCATAATTGTGTGACACCAAGTAACACCGCAAAACATGTAACAAGTTAATTTTGTGCTGAACGCTTTAGAGTCCGAGCTTGCTATAATCCCTCTCAGTTTTCAGGAAAAACTAATGCATCTTTGTTTGAACATTTGTGTAGGTGTGTATGCTTTGCTCAGTAGGATATCACCTTTTTTGTTGTCATCGCTCAGAGAAAACCAGCCGGCGATGGATGGCATTAGATTATGCAGGAATTTCCATTGGTATCCTGGGCTGCTATGTATCAGGCGTGTTTTATGCCTTTTATTGCAATAACGTAAGTTTAAAGTACTCGTTCATATGACATTTAGTACCTGTGCTTTCATTGTCATGGTTTACATGCCTTAGGAAAGGGGTTCATTGCATAGCGTGCAAGTAGTACGTTAGTCGGGAGACAGGCAGTGGGAACAAATAGTTTCATTCAGATGCTAGCATAACCACGCTTGCTGAGGTGATGGGCCAATTTAGGCTTTCATTTTTAAGCTGTCAATCACACAAGCCTCAAGAAAACTTACAAATTTATATGAAGTCAGTGTAAACTGTATGGGTTTACCTTTGTCAAATGCATGAGGCTGATTATGGGATGTGTCCCCTTCAGAAGTACTTCAAACATCATTTCCTACAAAGTAGCTTACGTGGGGTTGAAACAAGCTTATTTCCAGTTCACCTAATAGAGGACAACTAAAAATAGTTTCCCTCAGTCTGAACATTTATCCATGTTTTTTAACTTGGCAGCTTCCTGAGAGGCAGCGTAGCCTATCTGAAGTAGAAATCTGGTAGTTGAACTACACAGCTTAGGCAGAGATGTATTAAAAATGCATTTGAATTAAGGCAGTGCTCAAAATAAATGGTTTTTAAACAGAAAGTGTACCTGAACAATAGGGTTCGCTTCCCCTGTCAGTTGATTAATAGGAGTCCATTCATTCAACCCCTCTCATTTGTGCTCACAGAAACGTCAGAGAAACTGAAAAATCACTGCGTTTAGTAACCTGAACTTGCTGCTAAGAGCTTACCTTTACACGTGATGAGAGAAAACCTATGAATTTGCTTTCGTTTCTTTTTTCCGCAGTACTGGCGTCAGGTATATTTAATCACTGTGCTGGCAATGATCTTGGCAGTATTTTTTGCTCAGATTCATCCCAGTTACCTTACGCAACAGTGGCACAGGCTGCGCTCCGTCATCTTTTGCTCAGTGTCTGGATATGGAATTATTCCTACAGTCCACTGGGTTTGGCTCAATGGAGGGATTGGTGCGTCTATTGTACAGGTAAAACAAAAACCCACACACAGAGCAAATAAGATTCCCTTTTGTTTTCACCTGCTATCTTTCCTGAGCGCTCTCATTTTCCCTTTCACCCTTTTAGAAGTGAGAGGGGAAATAATGGTAATTAAGAAATTCTTTAAGCAGAGGATTTGGATGGTCTTATGTAAATGCAAGCGCTCACATTTATTGAGAATCAGTGAACAGTTGAATAGATTAAAACTGTTTGACTGATTTATAAAGGAAAAGAAGTAGTAAAACCAGGTACAAATGTGACTCTCTCTCTCTCTCTCTCTCTATATATATATACACCAACACACACACACAAATATGTGTACACGCACACGTGCGTGCGACTGTGGGGCAGAGCAGCCTGCTTAGGCTGACCACACCCTAGCTCGCCCCAGCTGGGGAGCAAGAAGCAGTTTGTCTGGCTGCAAATCTGCCCTGGGCTGTCCGCCTCCACGCTCTCAGAGAAGAGAGGGGAGTCAGAAGACTGTGATGAAATGATAATTTGCTCCCTCTTTTGTTCCCAGGGCTTGCAGCAAAAATCAGTATTTGCATACGCAGCACTCTGCCTTTTATACAACCCTCACTTAACGTCACTGTGAAGTTGCCGGACTATTTTCCTGTTGCTATACCACTTAGAATTCTGGCTCAAGGTTACTCAGCTCTGAAAAACAGGAAGAGCAGCAGAGCTAAAGAGGGTGAAGTTGTTCCTCAAGATGAAAAACACAGATCAATGTAATTACCCAGGGACCTAATTATGCCAAAAACCACCTTTACTTTCCCTAGTAGGTGCTAACTGTGCAAGTTCTTGGACTGGCACTTCATGAGAGCTGTCCTCTAGGATGATGACTTAGCGTGATCGAGAGCTCCTGCTGGAGGAGAACACTTAGGAGTACATGTAATCTTTAGACAAGGCGTTAACGCTAGGCTTGTAAAAACCAGATGAGCAGCCTTCTTCCAGTTTAGTTTGTCCTCATGTAGCAGAAGGGTAGACGCACTACTCGCTGTGTTCCTGTACTTGTGAAAACTACTCTGTTTTTGGCAACAAAACTCCCGGCTAAGGGAAACAAACAAGCAACTCATACTAATAGATTGCTTTCCAGTCACCAGCTTGATGACTTAATCTGGCACATAATATAAAACGTGGTCATGAATTTTAGCAGCTGGGAAACCTTGACTGCATGACCTATTTTAGCAGTGTTTGCTCCTCTCCAACCTCTCCAGTCATCACTGTGATTCAAACTACTAAATGAGCTTTTGAGATGAAGTTCTCCTCCTCACTTAGCCTGGCCTTTTTGCATGATATCAACAATCAGATTCTATTCCATAGATAACACAGGTAGTGAAGTAAGATTCAGTTTTGTCATGCCTTTTTTTGTAGACTGAGAATGTTTTTTTTCATTCATTTTTTTACCTTGTAACGTAACAGGAAAGCTTCATTTTCTTTTGCAGGAGTTTGCTCCACGTGTGGTTGTCATGTACTTCATTGCTGCAGTAGCTTTTCTCTTCTATATTTCCAAAGTTCCAGAACGATACTTCCCAGGTATGAAATTCTCTTCAAGGTGTTCTTTCCTGCAGTTAAGCTTCCTGCAGTGTCACAAACCTTGCTGCGAGTCCTGAACTTACAATGAGGTCGCAGGTTGAGTATGTTATACATTAAACATTCTTGTATAGGGTAAAACGTTGTGCGTAGTTGAATCAAAAAAGTTAGACATAACTTCTGATAAAGTTTGTGAAAAAACTTAAGCTGAGTGTGGAGCTGAGCAGAGTGAGAGCTAATTACATTGAGAGAGTTATTGCTGTATTTAACAACTTCACTCCTTTTCCTTTTCCTTCCCAACAGGACAGTTGAACTACCTCGGATCTAGTCACCAAGTATGGCATATCCTTGCAGTAGTGATGTTGTATTGGTGGCATCAATCTACAGTTTATATCATGCAATACAGACACAGCAAGCCCTGTCCTGAGTATAGCATGGATGTGTGACTGAAGGTAGAGCAGTTTTCATATTCGTGGGAAGGTGAAGTTCTACCACGTATAGGATTAAATGATCGTGGTTTTAAACATGTTGCGTGTTACAGTTAACCTTCCTCATCTTTTTAGCGCCTCCAAAGAAAATGCTGACTGGCATACTGCTTCTGCGTAAATGAAGTAGTCAGCTCGATACCAAGTCCTCCACTAATGTATACTGCTGTGTTGCATGAGGCTCCAAAAACCTGCAGCAGTCATGGGCCAAGTTTCAGAACAGGCTGGACGGATGTCTTCTGGGTCCCTTACAGCTCCATTGCATGATTTTAAGTCTGTAACAATCACCAGTTTTTTCTTCCTGCAAAGCCTTAACCTAAGGTTTTTGCCGGTTTTTCAGCTTATTAGGCATTTATCTGAGTTTTCTGGGAAATCAAGGAAGAGGTGATTTTTTTTTTTTTCCTGTGGATATTAAGTGACAAAACCTGTCTCTCCCCTGTCTTTTAGAGGCATCTCACTGCGATGAAATTTCTAATTATGAGGATCTGGACCTCGCCTAAATGCTGAACTATGAAGTTAAGCACTGAGGCGGTTCCTCTCCAGCTTCATGACTGTTTCCCCACTTGCTGGGATGTACGTTACCAGGAGTTTTGAAGAAAACAACGATGCCCAGGTCTGAGATTAAGTTCCTTTAAAATCATTTCCTTTTCTGCAGTGAAGTACAGCTCTTCCCAGAGCGGGTGATGAAAAGGTGGGCCACATAAGAAAGCGTATGGATCACTGTATTCCTTTCCTGATGGTAAGCATGAACAACAGAAGTAAGTGCTCTTGATGAGCTAACAGACCTTGTACCAGTTCAGCGATTTGCAGGTTTTGGTTCAAGTGAAAAACGAAGGGAAAAACGAAGCTCCTAACAGCATTCTTTTAGAACCATGATCAACTGTTGGACCTGGTCTTGGCTCTAAATCACGTTGATAGTGTGCTGCATCTTCCAGAGTCATTGTCTGAGTGATGTGCTTATGCTTTAACATCAGTACAGTAGTGTATAAAATGGAATTCAGTGGAGTCTTGGACTTTTCTAGAAAAGCTTTTTTTCCTTGTTTTTGGAAGATGACAGCAGATGTCATCCACCATAGCTTGCTTGATTATAAATCTTCATAACAGCTCCCCCAATACGGACCGTGCCATTACTTCAGCAGTTTTTTCAAACACCTAGATCCCTTAGGTGCCTGTAAAAGTACTATTCTGAAATATTCTGAGGGTAGCAGTGTTCAAGTTCTGTGCGCTCTTACAATCAGCAGGCAGTTGCAAAGAAATATTTTGAAGAGTTTCTTTTTTTCTCTTACAGATATAAATAATACACCTTATTTGAGTAGTGATACTGCTGTGGGTTCAAATCACTAAACTGGGCCTTCTATTACATGGTATATTATGCCGTACTTCCAGCACTTGCTTACTGGAAAAAGACTTATTGCCATAAGTTTTTCCACAGTAAAAAATAATTGCCTTGGGTTTTATGATCTGTAGTTAAACCATGCTTTGTAATAGGAACGCTAGGGAGACTTGAAACATGCAGGTTTTTAGATAGCTGTGACTCAGCATGATTTAGCTCGATGGCCGCCGGTTTTCCAAACTGGATTGGAAGTCTTCAGATTTCTTGATTAGAATCAACACTTTTAAGTGGCTTGTGTACAACAGCTGCTTGCATTTACAGTTCGGTTGAGCAGTGGTAGCAAATGCTGCTGCATAGCATGATCGAGTGTCAGTCAGCATTAGTCTGTCATTTTTCCTCTGCATGCATCACGCTGCTGTCCATTCTTAAGCCAAAACGGTTACGATCTGGGACCAGAACAGTTTAAAGACGCAACTGGATCAGCATGAATACTGTCAGAAAGCAGGTGAACCTGTTACTGTTTCTGCTACAGCTACAGGCAGAAACGTTCTGTTCTGGCATTATCATAAGATGGTATAGCTGACTTCACTAGAAGTCCACATGGACTCTGCAATGTGGCCTTTGGAAACGTACAAACATCTTCTTTCTTACTGTGTGATAAGCTGACAACAGTCAGCCTAAAACAAACTGATGGTAGCATTTTGCGATTTTGAAACAAGCTGTCTTACGACATAAGGCCAAGGAAGAGATGACATAGCCTAGCTTTGGGCTAGGAAAACCTTAGGCAACAATACTAAAAGCTGCATAACACACAAGAAAACCTGTCAGCCTTGTCTCTCCTCTGATGTTGCCTTTTCCTCTCAGAGGGGATGTCTTCCCTGAATGGCTTTTAGCTAACCAATAGTGACAGCATCGCACATTTCTCCCTTCAGTACTTGCCTGCGAGCCCTGCCAGTGCAGCAGGACCATCACAGCATCTTTCAGGGGGAAGGGACTGCAGTGGGCCACTAGTCCAGCCTCCTGCTCAGCTGCTCCAGCACCAAGTTCAGCTGGGGTAGCGCGGGGCTCGCTCCAGTCGGACCTTGGAAAACTTCTGAGAAAGGAGACGGCACAGCCTCTTCAGGCCCCGTGGTAGCGAGCCCTTCTCCTCGCACGTAGTCAGTACTGCGCCTGCTTCAGCTTGCACCCACAGACTTAATCCTCTGGCCATGCCTCTCCATGCAGAGCAGGCTGCTATTAGGTCCTCCTAAGCTGCCCCCACCTCCCTGTCATGGCTAAAGAGGCCCAGCTCCCTCAGCCTTTTCTTGTAGGGCATGTGCTCTGGCCCTCTTGGTGGCTGTATGACCCGAGAGATGATGTCGAGAGAATAGCAATAGGAACTGAACAGTAAAGCATGTCAACATTCATCTGAGATGGAAAATTTAGGGCACTAACTCCTGTACTGGTAGGCTGGCATTTGTTAAGAGAGGATAGTGTTAATGGGAGATGAAGTTCATCAGCACAGTGTTTTTCTCAACTCCAAAAACACTTCATGGCAAGAACTGACTTGGTATTTAGAATTTAACTCCCAGGCCTTTGAGCTTTTCCCTGTGAACACTGAACTTTTTTTTTTTTTTTTTTTTTAAACTTGACAGCCAAGCAAGTTTCACGTGCACTAATGACTACTACTGAAGCCTAACAAGGAACCTGCAAGTAAAAAAGCCTGTTTCCAGTGTTATGTGAACAACAATATTTGAACAATGTGTGATTGTGTCTTGAGAGTATATTGATTTTATAGTTTGCTAGGATTTTGTGTAAACTCTAACTACTGTAGCAGTTTTCATTGGATAAGGAAACTGATTGACGAGTTGTACATTTTTATTACTCTGATAAATTTTATCAAGCTGCATGACACTGATTTATGTAAATATTGAACCTGTAAATAAATTTCTGTTCATTGGATGTGAACTTGGGGTAACATCCTTCTTGTTTTCAATACTATGCTCAAGTGCTTCATGTTAGTGAAGTGAAATATGTGACCTGCTCAGCCACAGAACCACTGGCAACTCCCCAGACTTTGCAATACGTAAGGAGACTGTTTCTTCAATTACCAAGACCACAGCCTGGTTGGGCATGGCAGCTGTTCTAATTGCACTATTCTGTTGCTCCTTATTTCATGACCCATATTTGGAAAGAGCATGTTCAGGGTCTGTTAGACATGTGCATCTACTGATTAACTCAATTTCATTACTGTTTTTTGATCTAGATAGTTTCCAAGAAAATAGCGTCTTGTTTGTACCCTAAGAGCTCAGGCCGTTCCTGTTGTTTTATGCTTAAGCATAAAAGAAAGGTCCATGTGCTCCACGTCAAGTGAAAACATAGTACTCTTCCCATCTCAACTTGCTAAGTGCAATTTGATTGCATCCTAAAACCAGTGCTGAGAAGTCAACATATGTGCCAGCATTTGGACAGCACAACTCCCCCAAAACCCCACAGCTAGAACATTTTTGTAACTGCTTCTGTTACTGCACAGGTTGAAAACAAACCAACCCACTATTAGAGCTGGAATGGGCAGAAAAGCAATTATCTTACATATGTCCTGCCGCTCTAAATACACATGACACGCAGCTACACACAGTGGCAACAGCCAGCAGAAATCAGTTTGCACCCTTTGCTTCACGGCAAGCACACATTCTCACACTTTTGAGTGCACGGCTCGTGCTCACAGAAGATTACACCAGTAACGCTCAGCATTCCTCGCTCAGCATCCCTGCAAGACAGCTTCCTCAAACTCTCCCAAGCCTGTAAAGTGAGGCAGCTGTGCATACAGAACACCTTAGCTGCCAATGTGAAACTAGCTGTTTAAAAGGGAGAACTTAACAGCCACCTTAGTTTACTTTTGCTCAAGCTGTGTCAAGCACAGCCTCCAATTAAACTACATTGCTTTGTGGATCTGTTTGTTACCAAGTTAGACCGAAATGGGCAATAAACAGAAGACAAAACAACTAGGATGTTAGCTACTGTTTAATAACTAGGTCCCACTGCCACTACTGATGTTTGTCATAGTTTTTGTTCTTAGGCTTACTTAAGAGTAAAATCAGTCCAAGCAGCCTCAAAAGAAAAAAAAAAAAAAAGAAAAAAACTAATCCCAAAAACTAAAAACAAACTATGTCTACAGGCTTAGGTGCAGAACTCGGTCCATGGAGTTAGCGTTGCCAACTCTACTTAAAATTTTGGCTATTGAAAAAGGACAAAGCTTCAGTTAGCTTCTGGTTGTGTTTTCTTTTTCAAGAGGAAAAAATAACCTTTTCCCCAGCCCCCCAAAAAAACCCCAGCAACCCACCTTCAGAACTTGTCTGCTAGAAGGCTTTAAGGAGGAATATTGAATCCAAGGAATTAAGAAGAATACACAGTCAATAGCATTTTAACCACTTGAACAAAGATGATGATTGGACAGCAAATATAAGCATCTGAAAACAACAAAAAAAAGCAGGGAAAGGAATCTACAGCCACAGAAAGCAGCAAGCAGAAAAAGCATTGCTTACAGTGAAGAAATTATAGCCTCAGTGTGAACACTAAATAATGCAATGCTTAAGATCTGCAAAGTCACTGTATCATGTTTGTTTATTTAACAACTGCAGGTATTTTATGACTTACATCAATTTCACATAAAAGTTAAAAGTTCTCTGTTTAGTGGTACACAAATAAGCTTTAGAAACTTGAAGTCTAACAAGACATGGAAGTGTAGTTCAGGAAAGTGCACTTAAGAGCTGTATGCCAGCAATTTTAAAATAGTTTTTATGCTTTTTAGTATTAAGTGATGACTCAGTCACAAACTTTGCTATACACGCAACTTGCTTGACTTTTCTTTCGAAAGAAGCACAGTAAAAATGTAACCGAGCAGCCACCCTTTGCACTTCTCCCTCTTGCTCCTTTCGCAGCTCTCTTTCATATTCATTCTTTCAGTCATATAAAAATGATTGTGGCTGCAATGTTACTGAAAGCACAGCAACTCCAAGAGATACATGATGTGTGCGAGCATGTGTATATTTTATATATAGCTTTTATATATAAAAGTACACCATATAGTATAAAAATCTCCAGATAAACTCTTTTTCTCACAGTAGTAAATATATCAATTTATTTTCACAGTAGATAATTTGCTTTACTAATTGGGACACCCAGAGTGATTAAAAGGCATTTCCTTGAAAGCTGGTATTCGGGGGGCCCACATTACATAGGTCAGCAAAAGAAAGTGTGCACATCTCAAGGCTCTTATTTTGAGAATTTGCAGAGAAGGACGACTTCTTTCTTTTCATGACTTCAACCATTAAGGGCTTCTTAGTACCTTCTGACAGAATCTCTTAAGCAGCTGATTCTGAAAGGTCTGTGGTTCTGTCTTAACATATGAAAAGAAAAGCTCTGAATCAACGGATATTTTCTGTTGGAAGGGAAATGTCAGTTCCTTACCTTGCCATCGTTCTCTTCACAGGCAGTATGGTACACCTCTAACGCAACATCTTTCCAGTATTTCAGTTAAGGTGGAAAGTGCACGCACATACACACTGAATACAGGCAAAAGGACATCACATTCCCCAGCACTACATTTTGTCTCTGTTGAATAGAGACAAGACCCAAGCTGCAAACCAAATCTACCACGCAAAGTCAACTTAGTGAGGCATGCTAATCTCTCTTCCATCACAAAAACAGGATAAAAATAATTCTAACTCTTAAACTAAAAAGTTACATTTATGCAGAAACCTGTTTCATAACAAGAATACACAGGGCAATGTTTATTAAGGCCATCATCAGCAAGCAAGTATCATTTGCTATAACTAAAAAGCAGCCAGAGGCATCATGCCAGTTCTCTGCTAACTTGGCTCTACGGTTTGCTTTTATTTCTTCTATTGGTTGTTGCGTATGACCTAACCTCACTTGTACTGCAGTAAAGCCACTGAAGAACCCCCTGCCAAAAAACTACACACAAGGAAAACCTCTAATGTTCCTTAGTCTGAAGTCTCAGGGTAAAAAAAAAAACAAAAACAACCTCCCTTCACCCCCGCCCCCCCCCGAACAAAAAAATCCCATATGCAATGACAATGATGTCATTCCTTCTATTCTTAATTTACCTGAATATTTAGGACCAGGGTAAGTCTTAGTCCTAAACCACTGTTGATGCACAGCCTTACCTCAGGGTCAAACAGCAAACCTCCTCTCCTTTCACGCAGCAGAGTCGAGACCCACTCCCCGTACATGCTGTTAAACCCACACCTCCCACACTAAATGGCTGCACAAACCCTTTAGTCCCTTCTGCTCCAGGGAAAGGAACGGCTGCATGGCTTCAGCGAAGGTCTGCCAGCCACCTTTAAGAGGCTGGGACAATGGCTGTTTTAGTCTCGTTTTGTTTCCACTCAAGTGCCCCACTTTTCCACAATATTCTGTTCCAACAACTCATTAGGCAGGTCAGTAAAATTTCAGAAGGAAACTGTATGAAGGCAGCTAATAAGCACACATAGAAAAATATAAATCACAGTTAACCTGAGTATCAGAAAATGCTACAAACTTGGCGTGCACTTCTTACAGCCTTTGGCACAAAAACCAGGTGAGAACAGTAGTAATAAAGCCTAAGAAACTCATGTGCAAATAGAGTTGAAATATTTCTACTCACATACTCTCAAAAGCTTAACTTCTAACCCTGATAAAGGCAAACTTAACCAAGTAGAGCGCTAGTATTTCAATTTCACCTTGTCCAAACAAAAGAAAAAAAACATATATATATATATATAAAGGTAATGAGGGTGCACAGCTATGTATGTATGTGCTACTTTCAGAATCTAGGATTAGGAGAAAGAAACTCAAAATGTATCTGAGGCAGCATTGTTTCAAACCAACGGGATAAAACCACCAAAGGAGAAAGTTTTTTTTTTTTTTTTTTTAAAAACACATTTAACATGTGTTTCTGTAAATATTTAAGGAATCCACCTCCCCTACCCCCAGCACATCTCTGGGTGACTGTGTAGCCAGGTAAGCATTTTTTTAATGTAGACTTGGAAACCCTAAAAATTACACTTTACCTAAGGAAGAAGGTGGGAAGGAGAAAGGGATAAACCACAGACACTTACTGTCTCCATATATAAACTTTCACTTATCCGTTCATCAGCATTCAGGAGAGCAGGGTATCAAGGTGGGATAAGCAGAGGAACTAGTTCCTTCCACCTCCTCCACAGGATTGCCATTGAAAAAATGTAGACCAATTGGACTGTTGTGACTCACGCTCACTCTACGGTAGGTATAAATGGCTTGACCCGAGTTGCGAGGCAAGGGAGAAGCCGGCCCACCGATAGGTAGCGCGTGCTTTTATAACCGAGTAACTAAATCTTGTTTCAGCAAGTCTCATTACATCATTTTCCCATCATCTATCTACTGGCACTGCACACTCCCAAGTTTTTAGCCGTGTCTCACACACCTAATGTCTCGGAGGTACTTTGCAGCAGGAGAAGAGTCCTGCCTGTAAGGCTTCGCGGTGTGAATCGCAGTTTAATGGTACAGGAGCAATCAGCATCTGCAAGCCACCTACTGCTTACCGCTTCTGTTCTGAAACAGATCCGTTTTCAGAGGGAAGTTTCTTCAAAGCTCAGTGCATTTAGCAAAACTTTCTTATAAAACAGACTTACGTACAATAATAGATTCATCAGAACTTAAAATTAAAAGGACTTTAGGTTACAATCATTTCACAAAATTATTATTGTTTTAGAAAACAGCAAGTTTTGAAAGAACACACATTTTCTTTGCAATAAAAATCCAAGAGGAAAAGAAAAGTTATTTTCAGACACAAACCCCAATTCATAATCAAACAAAACTCACGGGTGCATTTCACAGTCAACTGTACAAGTAATCGGAAACACTCCATCTGTGCCAGATGTCTTATTCACAGAAACCAGCCTCTCTTCCCCAGCGTACTGAGTAGTTTTTTTTAAGTGCTGCAAACTCTGGCTGTACCCCTGCTGGTTTCCTTTCCTACATGCATGCTTTTCATCTCATGAACCATTATATTCTCTGCATCTTTAGTTTTAACTCTAGACTTCCAGTTTGCTATTTGACATTAATGGCACTTATTGTGAAAAAAAAAATCATAATAAAATTGAACATTTAGGCACACAAAAAATCAATCCGCCTTTCATCTCTGCAGCTGCATAGATGTCTACCACGTCCTAGGCCATAGCCGTACTCTGGATAGCCTGAGCCACTGTCCCTTTGGAGGACTTGGCTTCTTTATTTTATGATTAATAAAGACAGCTTTCATCTAGGAAGCGAAGACTCAGCTATTTCCAGCAGATTAATCTGGATATTAGTACATTCGGGTTCTTAGGTCTATTGCAATTGAGACACAAAGAACCCATCGCAATTCCTTTAGCCCACTCGCATGGGTGAAAAAACTTTTTCAGGCAACTTCTGCCTATCCCCCTCCCTCCATCTCAGCACGTTGCATAGGACTGAGAGGACAACGCAGAAGTGCAGAATGACAAAATGCTCCAGGGCCACAAAGTCAGTGACAGACAATGACTCATATCTGATTTCTCTTACATCCCAGGAACTGCCTGTCCTATCAAAATGATGCTGTCTTTCTGGTTTTTTCCTGATCAACAACAACAAAAAAAAGTCACTATTCCGTATTTCGCAGTGCAAGCTGGCCATGCCCTCTGTAACTTGAGTAAACTGTACAACCCAGTTCCCTGTCAACTCAACCAGATAAATTATTTAACTAGTTAAAACCTCTGCTAGGTAAACTGGAGAGATGGGTGGGGGGGAGGGGAACCCCACTGGAAGCATCTACTGCTTAGAAGGAAATGGAGCTGCTCCAAAGGGATCTAACTCTAATGCCTGTTGCTGCTGGGTCTGGGCACTCTGCACAACCAGTTCTGTGAAGGGTACTGCACCAAAGTCATCTGTTTTTAGCCCATCAGCACTGTGAATGGCCCCATGGAAGGAGCTCTGCCTAGGTCTACCAGCCACTACTACTGTACCATGATCCCCGCGGTTGTCACCAAATCCTTGATGCTGGGGATGTCGCATCAAGTCTGGTGGGTGGAAAGGTTTGGCTCCAAAAGGATCCAGCAGACTCTCATCTGTCTGCAGAGGGTTGGTTCGATCTTTGCTGTCAGTCAGCGACACGCTGATGTTCTCTTTGGAGTCCGAAATAGTCAGGAACTCATTGCTACTCTGCGAGTCCCTGCGGCCTGCTTTCTTGTGCCTGCGGGCTCTCTCAGGCGTGCGGTAGCTTGGTTTCAAAGCCTTCTTTGTGGTGGTCGGGGTGCCATGGTGACGCTTGCCGTTGCTCTTAGACGCGTCCTGTTTCATGCGCCTTTGGCGGGAGGAAAGCTTCTGCAGGTTACGCTGCTGTTTCACCTTTTGCTGTTGCTGACTCCCTGTGATCTCTTCAAAAGGGATGAGCCCAAACAGGTCCTCCTTAGTCCCACCGGTCTTTGGGAGAAGGGGAGGCTGAAATGGGGTGCAGCCGAAAATATCTACGCCCCGTGGAGAGGCGGGGGAGATTTGAGTCTCAGCTCCTACCACTTGGCCATCTTGCTGAGCCACCTTTTTACTGAACGGGGCTTTTGTGAAAACGTCAAAGTCATCCTGCTCTTGGTTCAGGCCAGGAAAGGCAGTCTGAGAAGAGACATCTTTGTCACTCTTCTCTCTTGCTTGTGGCTGAGGCTGAAGAGAAAAAAAGGGCACAGCCCCAAACACATCAAATTCTTGGCCAGAGCTCGCCTTGATTACAGTACTTGGCGCTTCAGACAGGGAAGCGAGCATTAAACTGGGTTCTTTGATTTCACTGCTGCCATTGCCCTCTCTAAATCTACTGCTAGGGAGCCCTTCCACAGATTTTCGCTTGGCACGATCCGAGTCAGAGTCAGAACTTTGCTTCTCTTCCTCCTCCTCTTCCACCTCTTCCTCAGAGTCCATGAGGAGAGGCCGGTGGCCTAAGTTCTCTGGCTCTGTGTCATTGTCATCATTGAAGTCTCCATTCTCACCTTGCAAGACTTCCTCATCCTCCTGCTCTTCTTCTTCACTGCTCTTCGGAGAAGGAGGGTCAGATTCAAAATCGCTCTCTGACTCATCGCCACCTTTCGTCACTTGTCCCTCCACGGTTTTCCTCCCTGGCCGTGGATCTCTAAAAGCATGGCTCAGTTTTCCAGCCTTGTTAGGGGTCCCTAAGTTATTTTCTTGACTGATGGCCAAGTTATCCATTTGTTTTCCAGGGGAACCTGCAGGCCCAAAGAAAATGTAAAACAATACTTAAAATACATTTGTTAAAAAAAAAAAAAAAACAAAAAAAACAAAAAAAACACATACTTCCCCTACTCCATACCCACATATACAAAAAAATCGATGCAAACATACGTTCTGTAGTTACTGAGAGAAGGGAGCTAAAAGCCTATCTAACATTCAAAATAACACCAATAAAACGGATTAATAGCCAGACCTTTGATCTTCAGTCCTCAAGTCCTTCAGAACCTCTAGAAATACAATGCTAACGTTTTTGGGGCAGGGAGGAAGACCACTGAACAGGTGTTCTGAAGAAACAGCTTCTCTAATACCCTAGTTAGCCAGCAGCTCCTGCCCAGAGCAGGAGCCAGCATGCATGAAGGGATTTCTTTTTTCTTTTAAAGCTACCTATTCCTTGAAACACTTATGTTTTGATATTGTACTCTAACAAATGTCTTGCTCTCATCATGAAAATTATCTGTCAGCAAAAGCGGACAAAAAAACCCCCCAAAACCTCGCACCATTCAGGAATTTCAGACAAATCACTTCAGGTCTTGGGTGCCACTTTACAGCCGCAACCTATCTGAGACAGCCTCATATTACTGTCATATTACTTGAAACACTCTCCTCTTGCAACTAGGACAACTGTTATTTGCCCTCCTAAATCCCCCTGACAGTTAAGCTCGAGGGTTACTGCCATTTGTGTATTTGAAGAGGTCTTCCACAGCGCTCACCCTCGGTTTCAGCAGAAACGACCCCCTTCCATTAAGGCCTTCGCTGTGAATAAAGGCTGCAGTTTTTACACTGTGACAGCAACATGAGCGACCTTTTCAGGACTTTTTTTTTTTTTTTTTTTTAAACCGATACTTGCCTTAATATTTCTAACTCATGCCTAGCAAATGTCTTTTCTTCCTATGACACTTGAAGCTCCACATTCAGTCCCTTCTAACTTCCAGAGTAGGAACTAAGGGAGGGAAAAAAGTGAAGAAGGCTTTTTTTTGTTTTTTGTTTTGAGAGAAGTGTTTTCTTGTTTGCTTGCAATTAGGATGCATCAGCTCAGCTTCTCTAGGAGAAGAAATCCATCTGTTTATTTTGCTCTGACATCTTCATCCCTGCCGCTTACTATTCGGCAACTAGAGCTAAGCAAACAATTCATTCATACCTCTGTCATGGAATAGTTGGCTTAGAAATAGTAGGAGTGGTAAAAACTTTGTGTCAGTAAAGAAAACAGATGGCAACAGCATGCAGATCAGATAAGCCCACATACTGCCATTAGCATGATTTAAAACTAGTTTCTCTCTATTCCATATCTCTTGGAACCCACTACTAGAGAGGTAGAGAGGTTTTCACCAGAAAAATTAAGTTCCAGAATGCTATTTCAAGAAAAAGACTAGGACAAAAATAATAACACTTGGCCTCAACTCAGGAAAACATATTCGCCCTTGACATATCCTTTTCTCTAGGACATAGGTCCTCCAGTAGCAACATGGCTTTAAGAATGTATAATTGAACATGTAACACTAATAACAGTAACGATAATTAGTGTAAACAGGCAAGGGATGGAATTCACCTCCTGGCACACATGGAGATAAGTACCAAAACTGGGTGCGCTGTACTTAGAAGTGAGGCTACATTACATTCACTCTAGTCCACATATTATCTATCGGCCTTCAGATGTGGATTAGAACAATGGCAAAACCACATTCTTACTGAATAAGCTACTGTAATCATGCAGCTTGTGTGCCTGCTTTTAATTAAGCAATGACAAACGCAGTGACAATACCTCATATGTTACTTGACATGTATCCCTCTTCTCTACTGCTGCTCCCCCGTCCATCTGCCTACGTACTTGTACTGCAACTGACTTCCGGCTTGAGTGTTTGTAGATGCTTACTTGCCCATGCACCCACCGATCCCTTAATTTTCTGCAACAGCGTTACCAAGTGGTACAGGATGTTGGCTTAGTGTCCAAGAACAAACACTTTTGTGCTTGAATTCTCTTTTAAGTTTGCAGAGAGAGAACCTTCCTCTCGCTCCTTCACGGGTTAATATTTCACAAAGCAATCGCAACGCTTCCCAGGTCCATAAACTAGAACACAGCACAAATGGTTGCTTTTCATCTGGATTATTTTAGAGCAACGTCAAGTGACGTCACTGAACTATTCTACAACAGAGTCTGCGCTCAGACAGACCTTCACATAGTCTCAGTGTCGCTACTCACCCTTTGGATGAGCACCCAGAGCTTCCTATTCCTTTGGCCCTGCTTTCCCCCAAGACGAGCTATATTTAACAATGCTTCTGCGTGCAAACTACTTCCAGTTCTCTGAATGGGAGCTGTATCCCAAAGCGCTGGGTAGTATGATTCGGTAGGCCATGCTACGCGCATCCTCATACAGCAGGAAGCCATCCCTAACCAAGGCACAGGTGAGTAACAGAGAGAACTGCTATGACATCTTACCTTCAGATTTGGCCAAATTTAAGAGTTTATAGCCACGGGCAGGCTATGTTAGTGCCATCTTAACATGCAGGCACACAGGAAACATTATGCTGACTGAACTGCTTCATGCACACGCATTCATATTTCAAAACAGGTATGACAACTCATTAAAAATCTTATTGAATGGAAATACCAAGTATGCTGCCTCAGTGCTCTTCCCAGAGTGCTTTGTGGAACATGAGGCTTTACACATCTGTATTTCAACTACAGAAAAAAGAAACTTATCCTAATAATTTTGTTGTTACATTCTGCTACCACATAGCGGAAAAACACTGATTCTTCAGACTACCACTTTCAGAGTGTCTTATTAAAAACAGAATCCCATACGTTTTTATGCACTCTGAACACTCAAATGGGATCGTACCCTCTTGAAGAGTTAATTCAAAATCAAATGTAGAGAAGATGCTGATACATTGGCAGCATTCTTGACTTGAGGGAAGATGCTCAGTTCAAAGGCTGTTGGCAAATCAAATGAGGATAACGTATGCTATTTTTCCCATGTTCTTGCACAGGGATTAAACCACCACGTGATGCACAGTAACGCGGAGAACTGAAAAAGAAGCTGACAGACAGAGACAAGACTAGGCTTGTAGAAGTGGCACGCAAGCAGCAATAACTACCATGTTCAAATGAGAGACCACTCAGAAGGATTAACATCACACAGCTGTATTTGAGGCCTCCTTCACTTCATCTGTCACTTTCTACCACAGAGACTAGCCTAATCTGCACACACCAGCCAAACTCTCCTTTTATGGATCAAGTTACAGAAACACAGCAACCAAACCGGAGAAAAAAAGTTCCAGACACTGCAGTTTCACAAGTAGGACTTACAATCTCTACATACCACGCACGGTTGTACCACTAGCAGCTGGTACCAGGTACCAACCACCAGGAGAAAATACTGCCAGTACTATAATGCCTTGCTTTCATCTTGCTCGACAAGGACACCAGTAGGTATCTTTCAGTATAACCTCATTGCATATTCTAGAAAGTCCTTTTTAGACAGAAAGGGTATACACCAAGGCATACAGGCATTTTAAGAGCCTGTATTCTTACAGGAAAAAAAAAAAAAAAAAGCTTTCCTTCCTTCCAACTGTCAAAATACATCCAAAGCATTCCTTAAGTAATTCACTCACACAAAAAACAATAGGAATCAAGTCTGACATTTGCTTCAGACAACCTCCTGTTTTATGGATACGAAAAGGTCACATCTAAGTTAAAGGACCTCTTCTCCGTTTAATTCATTGCCTCAATATGTTAGACTCCTGTTCCACCAGCAGTTTCCAGGTTCAGTCCTAAATACTGACTTTCACTTATAAAGCCATATGCAATTTGGAGCCTTTTTAACTCCTGGCTGCAACGAAGCATGCCACTCCATCAACACACTTAACACTTTTTTGCTGGTGATCCAAATAAATTCTCCTGTAATGCAAAAAAGGCAAGTTCATCTCAAAGTTAACTTCCCAATATAGAAGCCATGTTTTTTGGTGGGCCAGCAAAAACCTGAGCTGACAACCAGCTTATGCTTAGCTAATAGCCATCCTGAGTTCACTTACACCTGGCTATGACCATCCACGTATCCCATTTCGTAGTCTAAGCTAACGCGCTACTGTGCGACACAAAGATGCTAAGCTGTGAGTACTTAGTACAAACTTATTACATATGCAGTACCTGACATAGTCCTGGGTAAAGGGGATGTTCCTTGTTAAAGCTATTATTAACAAGCTCAGTCTACAGCACCGCACTAGATTCTCTCCAAGTTCCCAGCTAACCAAAAGTAATACCTTGCATTTACAGCTTTGCTAAACCATCACTTTAATTTAAGTCAACTAAATGTGCTCATACGATCAAATAAAAAAATAGCTTCAACAAGAATCAAGTTCATGACTCTCTAGTTCTCAGAAACTAGAAATCGATCATTTTCATGCTCCTTATGAAGTTTCTTCTTCCATGAGGAAATAAGCACACAGTTTCCAGATCAAGTCAACTCTTCTTGTTCTATGCTTAAGTATATACTAGAATATTAAGTTTTACAAGATCAGTTACTTCCTTTTTTTTTTTTTTTAATAAAAAAAAAAAAAGGAAGT